AATTTCTTCAAAAACAACTATTCCTCAATCAATGTAGTTTAAGGCCCACAAGAAATTATTTCAAAGAAGCATGACACCAAAACCACCCTCAAACTACCCACATTGTTAAATCAACATCAAGCTTTCAATATTAACAAAGGAGACTTCGAAATCAACAAAATCTTGCTAACATATATATATATATATATAACTCTAAGAAAGTCCTTACCTCAAGTTTGGAGAAGAAAAAGAGATGAAACCCCCAAAATCAACGGTGCCAAAACCCAATCTCCATTGCACACAATGTAGCTCTTGCTTAGCTCTTTACTATTTGTGAAGGATGATAGGTCAAAACCCCAATGGATTGGGATAAATCCAGGGTTTAAAATGTTTGGTGGAGGTTTTTAGAGAGAAGGATGAGCAAAAGTTTATTTTAGAGTGAGAGAGGGATATACAAAAGTGCTATACATTCTGCCCAAGAACAGGAAAAAAGTTGAATTTCGGACACAGACCGTCCCGCACGTGCGGCACTCATCCCCGCATGTGCGGAGCATGCCTCCCACACTTGCGGCCCTCACCCCCGCACGTGGGGCTCTTCCATTCCGCACCTCCTCCCGCACCTGTATATAATGCAGTGAATAACCCTGGACTTCCCCTGTTTCCCGCACGTGCGGCCTCACCTCTCGCAGCCGTACGTGTGGCCCAAGGCCCCACATGTGCGGCCTTGTCCGTCAGTCAGGAACATTTCCAACTCAACACTAGACACTCTGGATCCAACCTCGCACCTTCCAAAACATGAGAAACTTGACACAAAAATAAATAGAAACAAGGATTTTGAAATAAGTCTCCCAAAACAACAACCCAATGGTTAATCAACACCTCACACTAAAACCCGACACTGTAATGGGAGTAAACTCAACAAAATTCGAAGGGGACAAGACGAATAACAAACTCGATCATCACAACCTCCCTACCATAGAAAATTTCATCCCCGGAATTTAAACAACCACCCAAACAAGGACAATAAGCGATTCACAACCACGCCAAATACAATTTTAGATTACGGTATTTATTCTCCTCCCAAATTCACCATTATAGTCAAGGCTAGCTCACTAACAATAGCTATCGAAAATAAGCATATGTATGAAGTTCTCTAATAAAGTAGTAATAACCCATAACAATCTCATGCTTGAAACAACAATATACATATAACATGTGATTAACAACTTTGATACATTTCCCTCCAAGACTAGGGAATATTACCAATTAAAACAACTAAGCATTTTCAAACAAATCTAGATACTTGGAGCGAACTTCCGCCTCCCGTTCCCACGTTGCTTCCTCAACCCCATGGTGCCTCTACAACACTTTCACTAACAGTATAGTTTTGCCCCGTAGCACTTGCTCCCGGGTATCTAGTATTTGGACAGGCTGCTCTTCGCCAGAGGCATCCTCATCTACCTCCAAATCAACCAAATCAAGCACATAAGAAGGGTCGGGCTCATACTTCCTAAGAATAGACACATGAAATACGTCGTGAACCCCCAAAAGTTATGGTGTTAAAGCTAGCCGATATGCCACTTCTCCAATTCGCTCCAGTATCTCGAAAGGCCCCAACAAATCTCAGAGACAATTTACCACTCTTACCGAATCTCATCAAACCTCGTCTTGGCGAGATTTTAAGGAACACATGATCACCAACCTCAAAAGATAAGAGTCGTCTCCTCTTATCGGCATAACTCTTTTGTCAGCTTTAGGCCATCGCTAACCTCTTCCTAATGAGAGCGACTTTTTTGGTTGTCTCTTTAACAATTTATGGACCCAACAACGGTGTATCACCCACCTCGGCCCAACAAACCGGTGATCTACAAGGTCGGCCATACAAGGCCTCAAGTGGTGTCATCTCAATGCTAGCTTGGTAACTATTGTTATAGGTGAATTCAATCAATGGTAGGTGCCTCTCCCAAGACCCCTTGAGATCAAGGACGCAAGCTCTAAGCATGTCCTCTAAAATCTGAAAAATACGCTCCGACTGCCCATCGGTTTGAGGGTGGTAAGCGGTGCTAAAAGTTAACTTAGTTCCCAAGGCCTCTTGAAGGCTTTACCACAGCCGAGCAATAAAACGAGGATCTCTATCCAATACAATGGTTACAAGAACCCCATGAAGTCGAACTATTTCTCTAATGTACAACTCTGCCAAGTGCTCAACTGAGTCGCCGGTGTGCATCGGAATGAAATGTGTAAACTTAGTCAACCTATCAACAATCACCCAAACGGTATCATTGCCTAGCTGTGTTCTAGGAAGTCCAACTAAAAAATCCACGGTAACGTGCTCCCACTTCCACTCAGCTATTGGTAAGGGTTGTAACAAACCCGCTGGTCTTTGGTGCTCGGCCTTCACTTGTTGACAAGTAAGGCACTTCAATACAATAAAGCGACATCCCGCTTCATTCCCCTCTACCAAAACCGACGACTAAGATCATGATACATTTTGGTGCCTCCCAGATGTATCATAAGGTGTGAGTGATGGAACTCTCGAAGTACTTCCTTTCTACAACATTCTGGCACAAATAAGCGGTCTAGATAACGTACACTTAAATCCGAGTGAATGTTCAAACCCTTCTCTTCATTCCTGTTAGAAATTCTATCTCGAATCGACTCTGCTTCACGGTCCCCTTGTTGCGCCTCTATGACTTTACTAATCAAGGTAGGTTGAGCACTCAAAGTAAATAAGGTTGCACTCTCACCAGATTCACCCAAGTGCAAATCAAACTTGCCGATATCGCCTAGCATAACCCATTCTCGAATGGCCACACTTGCCAAACTACTTACGGACTTCTGACTCAAGGCATTGGCCACTACATTGGCCTTTCCCAGATGATAGTGTAATTCAAAGTCGTAATCCTCCATAAATTCCATCTATCTCCATTGGTGTAAATTCAAATCTTTTTGGGAATACAAATACTTTAGACTCTTATGATCAGAGAAAACCTCAAACTTCTTGCCATATAAATAATGTCTCCAAATTTTTAAGGCAAAAATTATCGCTGCCAATTCCAAATCATGGATGGGGTAGTTCTTCTCGTGAGTTTTCAATTGTCATGAACCGTAGGCCACAACCTTTCCCTTTTGCATCAAGACACAACCAAGCCCATCCCAAGACGCATCACAATAAACAATGTAACCCAAGCCTCTTTCCAGAATTATCAAAACTGGTGCGGTAGTCAATCTAGTCTTAAGTTCTTGAAATGACCTTTCACAAGCCTCACACCACACAAACTTGACCCCGTTTCTAGTCAACCTAGTCAAAGGCGTGGCTAGTCTAGAGAAGTCCCTTACAAAACGTTCATAATAACCCGTTAATCCCAAGAAACTCCGGATCTCAAAAACATTTTTGGGTTGCCCCCAATCTTGCACCATCAATCTTCGAGGAGTCTACAGTTACTCCTTCTCTCAACACCACATGCCCTAAGAACTTTACCTCGGTGAGCCAAAACTTGCATTTCTCAAATATGGCATACAACTTTGCTCTCTAAGAAAATCAAGCACTACCCGCAAGTGAGCCTCGTATTCCTCCTCGGAGGTTGAGTAAATTAAGATGTCGTTCACAAAGATGACCACAAAACGATCCAAGTAGTCTCGAAAATTTTGGTTCATCAAATCCATAAAGGAAGCCGGTGCATTCGTCAACCCAAAAGGCATTACAAGGAATTCATAGTGGCCATAATGCGTACGAAAGGCCGTTTTTTGGATATCCTCCTCCCGGACTCTCAACTGATGGTACCCCGACCTCTAATCTATCTTCGAGAAGCAACAAGACCCTCTATGTTGGTCAAACAAATCATCTATTCAGGGTAGAGGGTACTTATTTTTAACGGCAACTCGGTTCAACTTGCGGTAATCAATATACAACCACAATGACCCATCCTCTTCTTCGCAAAAAGGGCTGGTGCTCCCCAAGGTGACGTAGTAGGGCGAATAAAGCCCTTGTCTAAAAGCTCTTGGAGTTGAATCTTCAACTCATGCAATTCGGCGGGTGCAAATCTATACGGCGCCATGAAAATTGGTGTCATCCCAGGCACTAAGTCAATGGAGAACTCAATCTCCTGGTGGGGTGGCAAACTAGTAAGGTCCTCAGGGAAGACATCCGGGTATTCGCAAACTACCCTTGGCAATTCAACACGGGCCCCGTCACTCTCACTATCCAAGAGAGTTGCAAGAAGGCCACTAAGCTTGCTCCCACTACGAGGGTCAAAAACTGGCGACAAGACCCTATTAACCCGGTCTCCCAAAAAGTAAAAACAATCACCACTCGAGGTGCAAACTGTAACTCTCTGACGATAGCAATCGATCACAGCTCGGTACAAGAATAACCAATCCATGCCTAGAATGACATCAAAACTCGACATGTCTAGCAACACAAAAGCAAACAGGAGTCGATGCCCGGCAATCTCTATCTCACAACCATGACACCCTCTGTCTAAATCAACTGCACCCCTAACTGGTGACTCTACTCTGAACGGAGACGCTAACCGTGCCACCTCTAACCCCAATGCAGAAACAAATGCAGTAGACATGAATGAATGAGACGCACCCGTATCTATCAACACTTTAGCTAAAGAATTACACATAACAAAAATACCTCTCACAATTGAGGATCCCGGTAGCTGCTCTGGCACGGTAATAGCATACACAAGCCCTTGTGGCCTCTGATTAACCTGCTCATCTCTCAAAGCATAGGCTTGCTGTACTAACTGAGCCGAAACGGCTCCCTGATTAGCTCGTAAAGTCTGGACTGAGTGAGCCTACTGGTGGCTCTGAGTCTGCCTCAATCCTGACGCACCAGATGTGCCTTCCAACTGCGGGCAAACCCTCTTCATGTGCCCCGACTGACAACACTGATAGCAAGTAAGTCCTTGCCCCCTATTCTGGGACTGACTCCGGGATCAATTGGGTGGTGGTGGTGGTAGCATTTGTTGTCCTCCTCCCTTATGTGGGCATGCAAAGGCCTTGTAACCCGATTAGCCACACTTAAAACACGAGAAGTTACTCGGTGCACTTTTCCCTAGACCTACACTAGGCAAAGGAAAAGTGTATCTAGACAGCTGTGGTTGGAACTGGGATGAAAAGGTATTCCTGCTTTTCTTGTTAGGTCTATAGTCCCCCTTTGACCCTTGGCCCCTCGACCTCGAACCCCGAAGTCTCTCCTCTTCGGCCTCCACTGTAGTCTCTATATGTGCTACCACCTCCACAAGGTGATCATAGTTCCGAATCATGTACCCTGCAACCTTAAACAAAATCTTGGTTCTCAACTTCTTCTCAAACTCAATGCAACGACGATCTTCCGTTGCCATCAACTCGGGTGCGAACTGGGACAAACTAGAGAAGGCCACCTCAAACTCAGCCACAGACATATTAAGTTGCTTGAGGTCTTGAAATTCTTGCCTCAACCTCTCCCTAGCAATGGGAGGTAGATACTTATCTTGGAAAGCCACCACAAATGCTTCCCACGTCGGCTCTACTCGACCCTTGGCGTACTTCCACCATTGGCCTGCATCCCCTTTGAGATAGTAACTCGTTAGAGTCACTCTTAGCTCGTTATCCTTAATGTGGAGCATCTTGAATGTCTTCACTGTTTGCTCAAACCACTTATCTGCTTTCTTGGGCTCAGGGCCACTGTAGAACTCATCCGGTTTGGCCCGCAAAAACTCTCTAATAAGGAAACTCGCCCTTGTCTCTATGGAATTCTCCCGGGCTTGGTTCTGTACCCTCAATATGTTCATTGATTCCCTCAAAGCCTCGACCATTTCTCGGGCTAGGGACCCCATTGCAGCTTGGTCCTTTTGCCTTTCTTACTTGGCCACATTAGCTTGGCCTGCTTGCCCGGCTGTATGGGCTTGGCCGAATCCCTCCTCTTGCACCGGGACCTCATGGACCGGTACATCATGCACACCCCAGTGAGCCCTACCACGCCTCTCGCATCTACCACCATGGGTTTGACCCCTTCTTGACATCCTAATTAAGGAACAAGATAAACAATTTAGCACATAATCTCAAATGTGCTTGCAACTTGTCTCACACATTTGACCACGACAATTTTATATATTTCTCTACCATACAAACAATTCAATTTCACTCCACATAAGTACTTAGTCACGTAAGAACATATGGATTATTCTTTTATGATGAGATTTGTCCCATGAAAAACCAAGAATTCTTAGTAGAATGAGTATTGATCAAGTACCCTTCTAATAAGACCTTAAGGAATTTAATAGGTACAAACAACATCCCAAAAGTCGAATCCCATACCCATCTAGTCACACAAACATGTTATCGCATAGTCACAAAAACCAAAACATCTCCTAATTATGTGAAATGAACCCATTGTGGTAAAACAACCACTCCCCAAAAGCTCCAAGTATTCAAACCCGGTAGCACTGTGTAGACCGCCCGAACTCGCTCCGTGCGCCCCCCCTTTTGGAGAGGGCGCGGATTCGGGTTTTTAGCTACTACAGTTCGGACTCTTGTCACGGTTCTGAATCTAACCCCGCAAAGTGCAATGTGACACTGATAAATCACCAAAGAGTCCAAATCCGGCAAATCGTTTTGGAAAATTGATTTTAATCAAAAAACGCCAAACATGGACTACTTTGCTAGATTTCAGAGTCGCCACCTAAATATTTTGTTTTCGGGAAATTTAGGAAACCCTGACTCGTGCCTAAGGCCACGTGTCCGTCATCACCAAAGTTGCCTCGGCTCGGGAACTTGGGTACAAGAGGGGAAGGTCCTGAAATGAGCACCCCCACTCGCCTGATCAAAGGATCAGCCTCTACTAACATGATATGTTGTTTTTGAAAGCACATGTGTTCTTATTCTGGTTTATTAATCTAACTTACTATGTGATGCGCACAGCATACAAGTATAGACTAAATCACTCAATTTGGAACAAACCATCTCATGTTTGTTTTTCGAAAATGGTTTGACGATGCTACTCGCAAGTAGGCTAAAACGCGGATTTGCCACCAAACAAGGTGGGCTTAAAACATGATGATTTGCCACTTTAAGCGGGCTTAAAACGCACATTTCGATGAATTGTTCCAATTCAAGCAATGAAGCATTCATCCACAGGCATTCAAGCAGTTATAGAAGTTAAGCACATAGCCTCATGGCAAGCATACTATCATGGCAGTCACTTACACGCATGCAAGGATGCTAAAGCATAAACACTTACAGTGTACTCCGAGCCAAAACAGAAGCTAGTTAGTAATCAATGCATGATCCTAGCTATGTCAACAGTGCCTAATGAAACACATGAAAAATGCAACTAAGTAGGCTCGGCTATCTAAGATGGCATATGAATGCAACACTCGATATCATGCTTTGAAACACGTATTCAAGAAAGTGTATTGAAATACAATGCAGTTTGTATGATGCGCCGAGCCCGGTGCATGCAATACGAATGAATGATGCTCGCATGCAAAGCATAAGTATGCTAATTGAAACATGCCCTAAAACTAACCATCAAAAGCTGGTAAATAAAAAGGAGAAATACATGGGGTTGGAAGACATTCACACACTCACGCACACTTATTATAGCATTGTGCCCTCTCGACGGAGGGTCCGAATGAAAGAGAGCTAACTAGCTACACTAATTAAGCTAACTATTACAAAATGAAACTGATTAACTAACAAGTTAACTAATTACAAACACAAATGAATAGCTAAACGCATTAACTATTTAAGTACATAATCAACGAGTTAACCATCTAAGCAAAGCAGTTAAAAGGAGCCTCGGGGCGAGGAATGCATGCATGCTCGGTTGCTTCTTCCTGAAATCCCATCGTCTTGCCACCGATTGCCTCTGTTTGCATTAGCTTTGATTCCTAAACACTAAACCAATTCCCAGACTGTTTCTGCTCTAGAACCAAAATCACTTTGAACCATCTTCAAGTTAGTGGGTTGTCGGCCACCAAGGGAGGCCGTAGGCCACTTGTCGGCCACTTAAAGGGGCTGGTCGGCCAGTTAAAGTGGTCGGTCGGCCACTTCCTCTGGCCGGTCGGCCAGTTGCTTCTGTGCACTTCCAATTTGCTGTAAACAGAGTTCAACAAGGGCAAAACGAGGCATTTGCAGGGTATATGTGTACAACCACCCTCCTTATCATTTCTCAAGCTCAAAGAAGTGTGGTACTCGACTCTCGGGCCACCAACCGAGCATCGTAATGCACGATGGCCAAGAAGCCAAGTTTGTACAAGGTAATGAATGCACAAGTAACACACAAGACTCAAGAGGCCTCCACCCTATCATGCATAATCAAGGGGGACGACGACCAAGAAATGAGGCGCATTTCATCACTTCAAGTATGAAACGCCCCTCGTTTCTCGTGTTTGGATTAACGTCCGATCCAAACACAATGCAATGCAACACACATGCAAACAACATGCTTATCTATCAATGCTAAAGTGGCATGCACAAGGCTCTATCATGTAAACAATGCATACATGGCATGTTTAGAAGCTAAGGCATGAAAGCTAGTGAAGTGTATTACACCTGAGGCATGCACCATCAATCTCAAATGGTCAAACCTACTTCATGCCACAACAATGGTACAATCATGCTAGAAACGAAGCACCAAAAGCTATAACAACATGCTTTTGCATTGGCTCGCAAGCCAGACATTAAACACAACTCTCAAACACAATGAAGAAGTGATAAATAAGAGAGTATGGCAGAGACGTAGGCATTGAAATCATATGCCAAATGATGACATATCATGCAAACAACACAAGTATGGCATGCTAGAGGACTCAAGCATTAAAGCTAGTGAGGTACACAACACTAGGACTGTGCAATACTATACACAAACAACCAAACCAGCTCAAAATAGAGCTATATCATGGCAAATTAGTGGCAAAAACATGCTCAAACTAAGGCTCAAAAGAGTAGAAAATCATGCTCCTTTGGTAGCTCACAAATAAGGCACAAAGGCACAACTCTCAAAAGCTCTCAAGAAGTAAAAGAAGTGAGAACATGACGCATGTATATGCTCTGAAATTACATGCTAAATGATGCCAAAACATGAAACCATCACAAATATAGCATGCTAAAGTGCTCAAAACTCAAGGCTAGCTAAGGCACTTGCACCATAGCCATATCAAGCAAGCCCCAAAGGACCAAGATCACTTAAAATAGTCCTAAGGCAAGTTAAAACAATGCTGGAAACATGATGGAGTGTAGTCAAAACAAGCTAGAATAGTAAGCCAAAACACCTAGCATGTAAGGCTAATGAGTGGGATTACACTACAAGTACCAAAACCAAGCAAGAGGTGACTCCATCAACCAAAATTAGAGTTGTAACATGGCAAAATAAGACAAAAAACATGCTGAGATAGAGCCAACATAAGCTAGAATGAGGGGCATGAAGCATGATGCATGTTAGGCCAACAAGTATGTTTGCATTACAAGTGTAAGATGCAAGAAACCAATGATCAAACCAACCCAAGACAGAGTTATGGCAGGTCCAAAAAGTCACAAAAGCATGCTTGGACTAAGCTAGCAAATGAGAGAAATACATGCTCATGTATTAGGTCACCAACACAAGGCATAAAGGCACAACTCTTAACCATGATAAAAGAGTGATAAACATGGGAGTATGACAGAAGCTCATGCTCTTAATTCACATACCAAATGATGCCATATCACACAAATGTCACAAATAAGGCATGCTAAGGGTCCCAAGACATGAGACTAGCAAAGGCCATTACACTATGGCCACACAAGGCAAGCCCCAATGGGCCAAGATCATTCCAAACAGAGTTTAAGCAAGTCAAAACAAGGCTAAGAACCTGCTGGAGCAGAGCTAAAACAAGCTAGAATTAGAGGCACAAAACATGATGCATGTTAAGCCTACAAGGAGGATTGCACTACAAGTACAAAGACCAAGCAAGAGGTGACCCCACCAACTAAAATCAGAGTTAAAGCATGCCAAAATAACATCAAAAACATGCTGGAGTGAAGCCAATACATGCTAGAATAACAAGCTAACTTATGAAGCATATTAGGCTAGTGAACAAGTTTACACTACAAGTACAAAAAGCAAACAATATGAGGCCAAACCAACCCAAAATAGAGTTATAACATGGAAAAATAAGGCCTAAAACATGCTAAGATAGAGCCTCAAGAGGGTAGAAAATCATGCGAAAGTGTTAAGCCAACAACACATGCAAACAAAGCACAAAGGGGGGGACCACCCCTATCCATTTTGGGTCTCAAAATCACTTTCCACCACTAAAATTTCTCTGGAATTCAGTGGTGAAAAGGCTAAACAAAGGTGATCTCAAAGGCCTTAAGAGATGGCATAAAGCAAATCAAAACAAGGCACAAAATGGGGTAGACCACCCCTAACACCAAAGAGGCCTCAAACAGCCATTCTAAGCACTTAAAAATAGAACTTTTTGTAGTTGCAAGTTAGGCCTAAAAGAGCATGCAAGGATGGCCAAATACTTAAGAAAAATAAAGCTTAAAGAGGGTAACTACTCACCCTTGAAGAACCACAACAAAACAGCAACTTCTGAGGTAAAAACCAGCTTTTGAGAACTCAAGTATGACCTCCAAGAACCTGAGCTCAATGATGGTTGTGCTTTACTAGGTGTTTGTGTGCAAAAGTATGAAGAAACAACACTTTTGAGTCAAATATAGCACAAATATAGAGAGAGAGGGACATTTTTTTACTCTTCAAAATTCTGAACCCTTGAAAGGGAGAGAGAGCTCCCTTCTTATAGAATTCCAAGCCTCAAGCTTGTTTGACAAGTTAGAAGCTTGGTGCAATCCC